ATGGGGTGAAGATACCAGCAAGGAAAACTACACGTTACCATCATGGCATTGGTTTAGCTCTTCTCCAAATCTCTGTGGAAGACAGTTTAGGTGGGCTGACTCATTGACTCAGTAGAATGGACAGTTGCACCAGGTCTGGATACTGAGCTTATTGGTTGGGCAATGGTGAATTCTTCAGGATTGCTACTTTAAGCTGAAGGAGCCCTTCAGCTTTATGAACAAAACATAACATTTTAAAGAAGGTGAAATGCTTTGTATTCTGCAGGGTTAAAAACCTTCATGTAAATGGTAACATTTCTATACAATTACCTCTTAGGACAAGCTGTAACTCCCACTTACAGAAGAAGGTCTGCCTTTATTCATAATCCCAATAACCCAAAGAAAAAAAAAAAAGAATGCTTCTAGCCCAATGACCTTCAAAACAGCATCTGATTCAGGGAGGGACTACTGAAGAGGGAGATGGGAAAATCTGAACACAGAAGGGGAGCAGCAGATTTAAAGGTAAGGTTACACTTGATCAAAGCAATTTTGATAAAAGGATACAGAACTGAAAAAATCAGACATCTGCTGGAATTTAACTTAGGAGAAAGATATCAGAAAAAAAGGTTTTTTGTCCTGCACCCAAAGTGTAGGCACTGACACATTGCTTACTCAGGTTCTTCAGGACACTACTACATTTCCAGCAGGAAGATAAGTTGTTTTCTCAAAAACTCCCAACTAGCATTCAAATGGAGTTGCCTCTAAGGTAAAACAAATCCCTCTCCCCTGCACTACTTGAATTCTGCTTGGAAATAAAAGGGGAAGCAAGGACTGTGTTGACAGCATCATGCAGGCACATAGTGCTTCTCAGGAGATGCTATGAATAAGCACAGACACTCAGGATTTTGATTTTTGTGGCAATACTATTATTTCCAAACACCAGAAGTAAAGCAGTCTTATGCATAGCTATTCAGTAGCATAGAGGAAGCATAAAGAATGCTTATGATTACCTAAGCAATTCTTCTTTCTCTCATTCTCCTCTGACTGAATTTGGTTCAGAAAAGCAGCACTATGGCACATAGGACAAATTTTTCAAGTCTCAGCAGCACTCGTGCACATTTACATTCCTTTTTTTTTTTTTTTGCTGCTGACCTTTTCTATAAGGCTTATAAAACAGATTGAACACTATACCAAAATAGAAAACAAGCCAAAAGACATGCACGATTTCCTCAATAAAATATTCCACAACCCTGTAAACCTACTCCTGTTGGGAGAAAAGATACTAAAATACAGACATTGTGAAAGATAACATCAAAATTAAATGCACCCTTGGATCATTAACCTGGATTAATCCCTGGCTTGCTCTCACAAGCCCTACAACTGGAAGAAGCAAGAGATTGCAAGCAAAAACTCACTATATCTGAAGGTAGAAACCATCCTTACATCAGGTCTAAAGAGAACCTCATCAGGAATTATGAGTGAACATCTGGGAGAGGCTGGGCTTAAAGGCATGATATTTTCTCAAGTGGGATGCTTAAGCCTTCCTTCTGCACCCTGATTCTGATTTACATGTCTTTTTATCTTCCAAATTCACTTGAAGGCAGTAGGCCATGTTCCAGGAACACTTTTACTACGATCTTCTCTTTCTGAGAAAGTTTTACACAACAAAACTAGAGGTTAGAGAAGACTAATAATTTCTCCAGCTGAATATCTACTGTACAAAAGCAAACCTAAACATGTAGCTGGACACAAAGCTGTGTTACACCTGAATGTGTATTAGGCACTTATGTGATCACTGCAGCCAAACAACTCTGCTGTTTGGACATTAAGGGACATTGCAGAGAAGCACAACTCTACTCTCTTATCTAGGTAAATAGCTGCATGGTTTGTTTTTCAGCCATAAAAGTGAAGGTTCTGGAAACTTGGGCTAATTATTAAAAAAAGCCAGCATCTTTTAAGATAACAGAAGAAAATTTCTGGGACACATGAACACTGAAGTAAGAAATAGGGTTCATTGGAATTTCACCATGTATGTTGTTCAGACAGTGACTTTGCCATTCTTTCAGAGGTATTCTAAATCCAGAGAATTTCAGTGCCATTCAAAAGGAAAATTTCACTTGAAGTCTTCCCATGTCACTGCAATTAAATATAAGGTGGAGGAAGGGAAGTTTGTTCTCTGCCTGTTTTTACCCTTCATTTATTTACTAATATTACTAATATTAATACTAATAAAAATATCTTGTAACAAAATAAAACAACAGTCATGGGTCATACTAAATTGCAGACTTCTATGCAAACTATCTTTATGCTCTGTAAGAACTGGAGCATAACAAAGCAAAGCAACCTAACAAACCCTGGCTGTTGCTGGTATGTTATAAGAGGGCCACATATAAATAAATCAAAAGCTATAAATAAGTGGTTTATGTGTGAATTAGACTTCTAAGCAAGGTTTAGCACCTGCTGCTGCAGTTGATACAACTTTCCTACTATTGCTCACCTTCAAGGTTTGGTGAGCATGCAGTAAGATCAAATAAATCACAGTCTCACTTTCACATGAATCCAACAGAAAGATCTTTTTAAAGCCTTAATTTGGTGATAAGTCAGGCTGCAAATGATGACAGTTACTAGGTGACAGCCTCACTATCTCACTCCACATCCCTCTTCCACACAGTAGAAAGAATCAGTTTCATGACATAAAAAGTATTTCCATACTATCTTACGCATAAATGTACATGGAGAGCATACTTAACTAGCACTTTCATATTCAGCCTTTTTTTTTCCCTAGAACTATGCCTCATTTAGGTATTTCACAGATACTCAAAAGCAGCTCAGTCCACAGACACTGTGCATCTTTGGTACTTGCTGCAAGCCAGTGACGCAATTACTAGGCTAACACCTGATTCTTCACATCTGAACTATTCTATTTCTAACACAAAGTCATAACAAAATAATTGTGTCACACTTGCTTGATCCTCAACATAAAACACTCCACAGCCCTGGCAATTACTCAGCGTACCAAACAACTAACAGACTTGTACTAGTAAGCTACGCAGAAAATAAGCTCTATCTCAGCCAAAATGAGTGCAACTTCACACCAGTATCTTGTGTCTATAGTAAATTCAGTGAGTCATTGCCATGCTGACTCTCATTCTTTTGGAATGGGCCCACATAGATCAGCACAAAGTCTTCTGACATGACCTGGACAGAAATATGACACAACTCATCTTCCAGCGATAAGCATTTTTGCAAGAAAACTTCATTAGGGAATGCACATTAAAGAGGAAGTATTGTGACAATGTCACCAGACACAGTTACTCTAAAGCTTTCCACTTTCAACCCTCAATTATTAGCAGCCATCTACACTCAACTTCAGGTTTCAGGATATTTCTTGTTTACACAGAAGTTGTACAGGTAAGTGACTTCTCTGGTTGATAGCTACTTTGAAATTGAAAGCTTTTGCAAGAACACGTGACATGTCCTGGTGTGCATATAGAAAAGCAAATACCACCTCAGTGAGAGTCACCACACACTGAAAAAATTAGAGAAACCCAACTTTTCTAAGCCATTTAATTTACTTTTTCACAGTAACTAGATATGTTTTAGCTCCATTAACTGTGACCAAGAAAATAAGAAACAGTACGATAACCAAAACTCTTTCCTAAAAGAAGACATTTTACCAAAACATTGCAAATTGAAGACAGGCAGGAAAGATGCTGTTATCCACAGCTTTTCTTTAATCTTTCTGATGTTTTTACTCTTAGGCAAATCAAGCCCAAATCTGGGATCTTTACATATATGTGAGCTCAATTTTAATATCTTAAGTTTCTCTTAAAATATCCATTTCTCTGCTAAGAGTAGAATGCTTTCTATTATTTAGACTGCATCTTAGCTAACTGGGAAATAGGCTCCTTTCAGGAATATAGCAAAATACTTAGATAAAGAATATGCATGCCTATTTTCTTCACATATATATAAAAATCTAAAATCTCACATTATGGAAAAATAAAACAAGTGAAATAAGCATAACTAAACGTAAGGAGCATTCAGTGTAATTCTGATTCTAGAACAAGTTCACAACTTACATTTTATTCCACAATTGAGTTAATACTGAACCTGTAATCAAAAAAATTAAAATATCGACTTCCTCAGTGTTCACGTTACAATTGTCATTGGTCAAAAAAAAAACTCCAAATAAAATGTTCAGAAAAGCGAGAGCATTAAGTTATCGAAACAGGTAAAACTGTAGTCAGTGAGATACTACTGTTTGTCACTACAACTTAAAACAAGTATTTGAATGTTATTTGATTAAAACCAATATGAAAGCCCTGCTTTGAACAGAGGATAGTCTGAATGATCTCCAGAAGGTCTCTCATCCAACCTAAATATCTTGAGCAAGAAAGAACACTCAAATTGTATTTCAAACAAGTTTGCTGCAAACCTGTGTATTCACCCTAACCCATCCTAAATTTGTGTTAGCATACTCACAGCTTATCTTCTTTAATAGTAAAGTGTAGCAATAGTGAGCATTAAGAAAAATCTGGATGTTTTTATTTCCAAATTTCTCTCATTTACTTGGTATGCCTCATCTATATCTCACCTGCCGACATAAGAAAACAGGGTACCTTATCTGCTGTTAATTTGTTAGCCAAAGTCCATCCTGCTTTCGACTGAGTATACCACACTCATTTTTGAATCCAAGATGAGAGATTTCTGCATTACATAAAATGGCGCACACCGCAGAGCTGCGTAACAGCACCAGCCTGCATGACAAAAGTACTTTCAGGTTTTAAAAGTCAATTTACGTCTCAATAGAAACGAAGTACAAACACTACAACATCCACTCACTTCAGTCTCGTCTGCTGTAGGAACTTGAGGAAGACAGTTACCCGACCAAAAACTGACCACATGTCTAGCAGGCTTCAGATCAGACAGCACGCCTAACAAAAGAGCTTACTAAGGAACTAAACCCCTACACTACACAAAGGACACAACCAAAACTTCCCTAATATTTTGCTCCATACCTTCTGAGAGAATTCTGCAGTAGTTTCTCTTCAGTTTCACTCCCCTACGCAAGGCCCACATACAACTGAGCTCCAAAGCCTAGCTTTCAAGAGCTCTGACCATGGATCCACCTAAATAACTGCATTGTCTGCGGGAGGTTAACGAGCCCAAATTGAGGCGTGGTTACAAAAACAGCAGCAGCTGCTGCTCTTCTCAGTAGCAGAGTTACAGAGAGGTAATTGCGAGGTGCTAACAGCTGCGTGATGCGCGAGCTCCATCGGGGAGCGGCCGCTTCCGGGCGGGAGCAGCGGGCCAGCATTCGGAGGGGTCTGCCTGCAGAAGCACCAGGTGAAGGCCAACGGAGCAGCTCATCTGTCAAGGTAGGTCTAATGTCCTTGTTTTTGAAATGTCTCCTGCTTTACTGCCTTTCTATGGAAATGTAGAAGAAAAAAGACTTGGGCCTACTACAAACTGCAACTAATGTTGTTTTTAGAACCTGCAGAGCTTCTTGCCGTGCTCCACAAGGAGCCCTGTAGAAAAGTATCAAATACACGAGGCAGTTCTATAGCAGACAAAGTTTTGATGCTATATGCATTTCAGCTCAAAGCCTATGTTCCTATTTTCAATAATGTGTGTGTGTGAGTACCTGCATATGCAGACCCAATTTTTTCTATAGAGGAAGCATGAAATTAATGCTTTACCACAGGTTCTTTCTCCTTGAAGCATATCATGCTTCCTAGGGTTACAAACAGGGTCATAAAACAAAAATCCTTTCTGGTATGAGAACGTATGTCTGCTGAGTTGTGGTTAGGCAGGAAAAATTGCTTGGATGTTTTTCCTTTGTTGCTCCCAACAGCAAAGAACAGTCCAATGAAATGGATCTCTTTGGTACAGTATTGTGGCTGATTCCCAAGGGACCTGCAATGCTGAAACAGTAAGGAAAGTTAAGTTCTTCCATTAAGTGGTGCTAAAGAAGTTTAATCCTGGAGAAAATAGAACTGACTGGTAGTCAACAAAAGTTCTGAAGCTCAACTAAAACTGAAAGTTTTTTTTCTTAATGACTGTCTGAAGCATACATGGAATCTAGTTAAGTTTCGAGCTTTGTGTTGGGTTTAAACATTAAGCTAATACGGCATTCTGGTTTTATATGAATTGCTTAAAATTAGAGGTAATACAGGTTACAAGTATTTTCTTGCTCATTAATGCTTTCATTGTTGTGAAGCCTTGGCAATGTAAGCCTCAGAGAATGTCAGCGGTTCAGTAAGCACAAAATACATAAGCTCTGAGTCTCAGATCCCACGCTAAGGAGTGAAGGGTCCTGATGTGGATTATTCCTCAGACCAGACTCAGTCCAATTCGCAGACGTACTCAGAATGTGTAATAGTTTAGCCCAGTATTTGGTATAAATTGTTATAGCTCTGATAATAGCCACTCTGAAATGCAGCTGTTCTCACTGGAGTTTACAGGATTTCTGAGCATCTAGGAGACTGCCTCAGAACGGTTCTCTGCTTCGTTGACTCACAGCTATCATTTGGCCAAGCATATGAATGTAATTCTGACATCAACCTGAAAACCCATTATCTCTTTGCAACAGAGTACAAAGCACGGAAACATACAAAGAGGGAGGGGAAAAAACAAAATCGATGCAGTCTTCTAATATTATTCCAGGCATCTATATTAAGTCTGCACATGCCATTTTCCATTCCTGATTTGCTGTCAGCTATCAGTGGCTTGCTGGGCACCAGAGGGACTAGAAGGGAATAGGTGATAAGTGCGCACAATGTCTTGGTGAGTGGGCAATACTGTGGACTTAATGCTGGAATAATACTGGGATCAGCAGTGTTAGGCTTCATACTTGCTGAAGCTTGGCTTGCATGTTAAAAGTACAAGAACTGATGCAAAAAGTGCTTCATACAGATATGTAGTATATTGAGAGGCACAAGCACGTGCTGAAAGGCTCAGTTGCTGTTACTAAGGGTTATTTAGTTCAGAGCATTTCTAGCTACAGAACAGCAACGATCCTTTTTTTTTCCTCCACCATATTCTGAGAGTAGAGTACTGCCACTCAGATGCTGCATCTCCTGCATATGCTTCTCTGGTTTACTCTAGTCTTCTCTCAGGAATCCTGGGATATAGACATCTGACTTTTCCAGAAGCGTTTAGTCTGGTTTGCTGTCTGCACACCTCGATGCTGCCTCGGCTATTGAAGGTTCTCTGTTTAGAGGCCATGATATTTTAGACCAACATGTCCTGGCTAACAGCTGAGCCTGTTCTCAGACATTTCCTTTATCAGTCTGCCAATCCTCAACCCTTAGCTTAAGCTTCTCTACTTAGCAGTTCTCACCTTCCCCCAGTGCGTTTTGCAACTTTTTTCTTCTAAAGTTTGGTGTTGCAAAGTACAGTTCTCTTGTTGTTTAATCTTGTTAGTAAATGCTTTTGTCTGTAGCTCATCCATATTCCCTCTACTTCATTCTTTTCTTCATCGTTTACTAGATACAAGCTTTTGGAGCACACAAATATGTCCTTCTCTCCTATTCTCACAATTCTGCGGCTCCGGTGCTCACCCATCACTCTGTAAGGGTTTTTTTTTAGTTAGATAAACACGATACAGGTTGCCTTCCCTCTGCACTTCTTCCTTATGCTTTTTGCTTCCCTCTGCTACTATTTTTCACTTTCTTCGTTGTCCCTTGCTGCTCAGAGTTTTACTCTTTGACATGTTTATGCCGTATAACTGAAATTGCTGTTGTGATTTAAAAAAATGATAATAATCTGCAGATGCTTGGATGATTTTGGAGGAACAAAAGCATTTAAAAGTAGACCATCTTGGCTGCACTCCTGGCACTATAGCAAACACAAGCTCTTGTGCCAAGAGAAATGTTAAAGCTAAGAAGATGCACTTTTTTAAGTGTGTTTTTCATACTTGTGTTCAAGGAAGAAGAAATCACCAGCTGGAAAACAAATGTCTGCTACCTAATCTAGCTCAAAACATTAGTACTTTGTTCTTTGAAAGTACGCTGTCTGGAAACATGTGACTTGAGGGATATGAGAGTATGAGTATAGGAGATGAGGGAAGATAAATACAGCAGTAATGTATTGGGAAGGAGTTCAGTTTGATGGACTGGATTGGATCCAAAATTTCTGCACTGCAGTAGTTACGTGGAGAGCTCCTCTTAGATGCACTAAGTCTGGTTGAAAGGAGATGATTGACCTATATATATTGCTAATTACCTCAAAACAGAGCATTTGCTGTGCCTCTTCATGTGGCGTAAGCATAAGAGGAGGCAGGAAATACTGTGATGCTATTTGTGACCTCACAAAGGTGTTCTGACACTCATCGGGCTTGTGTATACATTCTTATTTACATACTTGTGAATATTGGTACCTAGGAGATCATCATCCAATCATCAGTTGGTTTCACTGGGATTCTCTTTACTGTTGTTGTGGTTGTCTGCACATCTCTTAGAGTTTGCTATGCAGCTCTGTGAAACAGGAAAGCTTATCTCCACTGGGTTGACAAGATGCTGGTAGCACAGGCAAGCTTAGTGGCTTCCTAAAGGTCAAGCAGCCCTGTGGCAGAGTAGGGATGTTTACAGTATGCCTTTTCAGAAGAGGTAGGTACAAGAGGAAACAGAGTTTTGAGGTGCCCCATGATACCTAGTGTTCACTCCCCCCCTCCCCAAGTGATACCTAGCATTTTTGTCCTAATGCAGCTATGTCTGCCTAATTAGGGGGCTGTTGTAAGGCAACTGCTAAGTCATAGCTTGAATTGGTGAGTGAGCACCTGGTGAAGGGTTGTGGCTGGCCTCTGGAACACATGAAAATTGTTGGCTCTAGTGCTCTGCATTATCTAGAAGGGGTGGACCCAGAGTAGAGCTCATATAAGAGCCAGCCACTCAAGAGAGGATGTCTTTTGGACTTAAGCTACTTTTTGAGGAGTGTTGCATAGCCAGAGATTCCTCTTGACCAATTGGGTGAGTTCAACTCTTCTTTCTGTGTATGATTACTGGCCTACCTGTGAATTCTTTGCATGGTATTGCCAAAAATCAACCTGTCAGAAGCGGTTTTGCTTACACAACATGGTGGGGAGGGAAAGCTCATGAGGCTCTTACAGAAAAGACTCATCTGTTCAAATACTGAACAAATACCTATTCAGTTTTTTTCCCACTTTTGTGTGCATGTAATTATCTTCCCTATTCCTGCTCTCCAAAAAGTCTCTCCCAAGTGAATAGGGAAAAGCTGTGCTGTAGTATTAAAACATGCGTGAAAAGTATGCTGCTACTAAAGAATCACTTGATTTTTTGAAACATAAATTTTTGAGTATATGATTACTTATAACAAGCAAATGGGAGTAAGGCATGAATCCAGTTCTCACTTAGAAAAGTGCAATGGAGCTAGAGTACCTCTGTAACTGTTTTAAGAGTGCAGTGCAACACCTTTCTGCCCTGTCCTTTGACAGTACAAATCAAAAACACGGTGTGACTTAAATTACTTTTCAGAAAAGAACAGATAGCTCTTGTGAAGGAGGGAAAGGAAGGTGACTCCTGCTCCTTGACAGGTTAGTTTTATGATGGCATCTAAGCCATTTGGGCAGTGTTGATTGGCTACTGTCAGGGTGCTCTAGCACTGTATGAATATGTCATGACATAAAGATCATGATGAGGGAGAAGAACACAAACATCTTGTATAAATACGGTTGCCCAAGGGAGATGTGCTGCTTGCATATCTGTGGAAGCAGTGCTTTGTGTTGCTGACCATTTCTGAACTGTCATGCCTTAAAAGGAAAAAAAAACACTGTCATGGTCTACTTTCTGCCTCATCTTTTTATCTGTAAGACTAAACAAGGAGCATTTAACCTGAGATGTTGTCTAGTTTAATTTAAGAAAATCAGACATTTAGTGCTGCTTTCAGTAAGTAGGTCAGAAAGTTCCCCTGGGCATTGAACATGCACTTTGTGTAAACATGAGTTGGTAGGCAAATGAACCAAAAAAATGGCTGCAGCATAGCTAGCATTTATACATCATGATCTTCTCTTGGAATGAGAGAAGCTGCAGGAGTCTTGCTGCTGTCTTGATGAAATATTTCTCTTACGTTCTTTGT